CAGCTGACAAAGAAGAAGAAACATAACTTTCAGGGTGAAATTCAGATGAGCTGTTTATGGAATTCACACATTTGTTTCTTAGCAATGTAAAACACAAACTCGAAATTATTGTAACAGGTAGCTATACTAAAATTGTATCAATAAATCTTATATTGTACTCAAAAAATGAAAGTGCTTTCCAAATCAGCCTAGCCAGGAATTCCTACAGATTCCATTCCAGTAGCTCCAACAACTTGTAAATGAGATATTTTCAAATTCACTGCACGATTTATTTTCTGTAATTAATGACGTTCAATGCAATGTTTTACTCCTTGCCACATTCAAAAAACGAACATTATTAACACAGAAAAGTGCAGGAATTATCTGAAAACAAGAAAGTCTCAGCTGTGAAAACCAGGGGAATGAATCAGCAACAGCACCAGAGCATTCTTATGTATTAAAAGCATCACACTGATGATGCTGATGACAGCAAACATCTCAGCTCCACAGTCCTCCCATGACATTTGACAGCCAGAGAAGCTTAACAGGACTTGTTTCAGAAGAGGCAAATAGCAGTCCTTAAAAAGCTTGAGGTGACACAAGAGAATCAAGGGATTCATTCCTGCCCTTAAAGGACATGCTGGCATTGTAGCAGTGACCCAACACGATGGCCAGCCAGCGGGCACTTGGAGAGAGCTGTGCCACCTCCTGCCAACAACAGGCTCAGGCTGTCTGCTCCCATCTGTGGATTTGGATGGCAGGGACAGCAATGGGGATCACTGCTCCAGGACAGCTCTGCCATGGGGGCAGGAAGCTGCTACAGATGGTGCCCAATTGCTCTGGATTATCCCTTCGTGGCACAGACTCCACAACATACAGCAAAAATGATTTTATTCTGGGTCAAGTTTTAAAGTTCCAGCACCTCTAACTCGACTTCCCTATGCAGGTTTCTCTCTGAAGTACCTGGATTGTACTTAAAAAATAACAATTTGGTTTTTCAGTAAAACAAACATGGGACAAATAGCAGTTATTTTTTTGCTCCCTCTTTTTTTTTTTTTCCCCCAACAAAAATATTCCCCTTCTTCTATTTACTCACCACAAAAACCAGCTGGTTGATTGCAGTGTTACTAACACTTCCACTAGCTTCTGCTCCTTGCAAAAGTCAGACCTTCTTTCCTGAACCCAAGGTCACATCAACAGCCAGAAACACCTGTGAGCAAAATGCTTTCCTTGCCAATCCCCAGCAGTTCTGCCTCTTTCCATATTGCGTGTTCAAGACAGAAATCTGTGCTTTACTCTTTCAGTAGCTTCTGTTTGAGAGAACACTGACTAATGATTGTAACTGAGGATACAGCTCTCCAAATACAATAGATGGCATGTAGTATTACTGCAGGTATTACTTGGTTTCAGGTACATTGCTGGAAGGCACATGGATGATGTGATTTGATTTGTTCCTCTCCTTAAATGTATTGTTGAACTAGATGATTTTTTAAAGATGGATGGATTCAACTACTAACAAATTAAGTTCTAAAGTGGAATCAATCACATTTATTGGATTATCAAACTGATGCGAAAACATGAGAGAAAAAAGCTCATATTAACTGCATAATCATAGGTGAGTGATTTCTTGATAATTACTTGTCAGAAAGTTCACAGTGCTTTGCTGTAATGTATTCTGGGATTTGCAGAAAAATACCCAGTGCAATGAGAGCAATTCATCTGGCTCTAATGCTTGAGGTAGAGCAGATCAAACTGATTTGCAATACTCAAATAAATGACAGCATAGAGATTCCAGCTAATTACAGGTTCCCAAGGCTACTATGCATGTTAACCTCAGAACCAAAATCTACCACTAACAATTTCTGCACACAGTCACTGGAGCTCAGGGTTACCAGGCGTTACAACCAAAGCCAACCAGAATTTGTGTGTGCTGACAATCCAAGCACTACTTTGGAGAACAGCACTGCAAGCAAATGAGAAAAAAGATGATGATGCCATCCAAGAACTCAAGGATAAATAAATATACGTTTATTTTCTACTTTTAGTACTATCACTTAATATATAAGTAACAGAGAATATTTTATTAAAAATCATTATGTAATTGCACTTCAATTATGTAATCACACGTGTCGATCCCTGGCAATTTTTAAAAATCATATGCACATTGTCCAATTATAAAATAATTCATAGCGTATCTCTCCGTCAGGAAGGCACCCACTCGCTTTCCAGACAGAATTCACACCACATATGTATTTTAAAACACCTCTGCCCTTGCTTAAAGACATGCAAAGATAAATTTCAATGAGACATTAAGCTGGCATGTGGTATGGAATATAATTACTTGGAGTTCAGGTATAGATTCTAAGGGCTGCTCATTTCAGCTCTGGAACAAGCTTTGCTAAAAGCAAAAAGAATTTTTTTTTTCTCTTTTTGAGGATACTAAAGGAATGGCTGTATTGTCTAAAACAGATTGGTTATCACATCAACTGAACAGATTTAAGTGTGCCGATCCAATTCTGCAATTTAAAATTATCAAAAAGCAATGAAATACAAGAAAAAAAGATAGAGCACCTCATCCAAAAGATGACTGGCTGAAGAGCATTCCTGCTACACGTTTGCCAAGAGATTTCGGTGGGTCTCACGCTGACGGAGAACAGATAACATATATTGGTTTTCCTCCTTCTGGGACCGTGATATTGTGCCTGTGGATTCACAGCAATACACCCACATAATTTCACTTACCTGCCTTGAAGCTCATCCTCCTCAAAAAAGCTTGATCATTACTGAGATCTCTTCCAGATATAGAAATGGTGGCTTGAATTACGTTACAAGCCCACATGTGGCCCAGCATAACTGCATGCCACTCATTTAGAGGAATACGACCTACCAGCTGCTGCTCATTACTGAACTTTAATTTTCACATTTCAGATGAAGATATTCTAATTGAAGCCCAACTTGGGATAATGTCCTGGTCACTGAATTCTACCTTTTGGGTTCACTTGGCAATAAACTACCTGCACTTGTCAGTTCACTACCAAACTTCAGGTTATCTTGTGATAAGGAAGCTCTTGCTATTCCTAGCTCTTCTGGAGAGTTCCTCTAGAGATTCTAGCACAAGAAATTCTTAGAAAGCAGTTTCTTCTTTCCAGTCATGTTTACTTACACTATAGAACCTGACACCTAGTACAAAACCTAGACAGTTTCCAGCCAACTGCACAAAACACTGTAAGAACACAGTGGTTCATCAAGAAATAATTATAACTTCAGTTTTACACCTATCTTCCTAACATCTTCCAACCATCTTCTCATCTGCTTGCATTTATGACTATAACTGATTAATTTGTTGAAATTTACACTGCTAAGGAGAAGGGAATCCACCCTTCAAGCAAACTAAACCATTTCAAAATGGAGCTTTATACTTCATGATAGTCGGTAAAGATTTATCCAGATTAATGGCAATTCAGGAAAATACACCCAGAAATCCTAACATTTCACAGAATGCTTTTCATTTCCATTTGGGACCCTAGGCAACAGCTCAGTAGTCAATCTTCAACAGGTTAGCCTGCAGAAGTCAGAGACCCACTGACAAAGGAGCTGTGTAAGGCAATAACTAGAATGAGAAAAGACTCCTTAGCCCTTAATTAACTATATATACATATATACATACATATATGTATAGATATATATGTATGTATATATACATATTAGTGCCTAAAAAAAAACCATGAAAAAAATAAATTTAGCAATTACCAACAGTGATTAACTAGCTACAGTGTTTCAATATAAAAAGGGAGTTTTATTGTCCAAGTTTCATTTTGGTTCCATTTGGCAGATATGTATATTTGAGAGGAAAACAAGGAAGAAAAAATGTAGAAGCACCATACCTGAGACAGGTGAAGTCCAAAAAGAGTACTACTGGCCAGAAGGCTCTAATAAGTAATTAGGGGCAGGGGGAGCCAAACATTTGTGCACTGTTTGAGCAAAGAGCATACAGGAAAAAATAACTTCTAGAGCAGGCCATGGGCACACAGCAGTAATTGGTATTAAGGACATAATTCAAGGTGCTTTATTTTAGTAGGAATCAAGCATGTCCAGATCATACAACAGCACAACATCAAGATTAACTTACACCTTTTTCAGATGTTGTACAAGCCCTCTGATTATCACAAACGTAACTAATATAATACATCTAGAATTACCTAAGAGACTAGAAAATATACAAAGAAATCTATCCTTAAAAAATTTCATTCTCCAGATATTTAAAAGGAAGCAGCTCACTGTTTTTAAAAAGCAAGAGAAGTTCTTGCTGTGGGCATTGAGGCCACTAGTGTTTTATTAAGTCATAGAAAAATGGATTTAGATAAATTGAGAACTTACATGATTTTTGAGCTAGCCCAGGTGCCAGCAGCAGTCTGGATACAGCCACACGTAACACAACAACTGCTAACTTTTCCTGCTTCTGTAATACATCAGTACAGAAGTATGGATGGAACCAATAAATATATTCTAACTGCTGGGGAGAAAGAAGCAAAATGTAAGTCTGGGGACTAGATTTAAGTTTGCTAGAACAGAGAGGCATTCTCCAAGAATAAATACTGCTTCTGCTAGAATTAGGTAAATACAAAATAACACTACTGGAATTTTAATGTGCAAATACAATTTGGTGGTTAGCACTTCTGGAAAAAAAAACACTTTAGAAGTTACTGTAGACAGAAGAAAATATGTCTCTACATTGGTGTAAACAAGTAATATTCTATGCTACTTTTTAGCTTCTGAGCAGAACTGCTTTACAGTTGCTCTTACCCAGTAAACCAACTAACACGTACCTTAGGAAACTCCATTTTACCTCAGGTAAGCAGTACCACTCTAGATTGCCGTGGGCTTCTTTCTTCTTTTTAGCACACTGTTATTTGCTCATTTGTTTTTAGTGTACGAGACGTCTTCTCATTAATGACATGTTTTAACTTAGCAGTGATGTACAAAGTAACTCAGTCTTTGCTCTGAACAAAAGACAGGACAGCTTATGTAGAGATAATACTCCCCGAAGCAGCATTTTATTTTATTTAATTCCAAAACATTTAATTTAGAAGTCTGGCATCTCGGTCATCCATCTTAACATGGGCTAATATTGACATAGTGTTGTCAGAATACACAGACAACTAAACAGCCAAAGAGTTTACAAAAAATAAATTCATGATTCTTCAAAACAATTGCAAAAGGTTACAAGTATCAAAACTCTTAGGTAGATGCACTGCATTAAAATAAACTGTGCACATAAGTTAAGAGGCAAAAAAAAATTTGCTACCAAAACTTCACATTTCAAACAGTTTATTGTAAACTGATGAACAGGGTTGTCATTTCACATCAGCTTAACTGTTTGCATTGACTGAAAAAAAATTGAGGTGGCTAGTTTACTTTGCATGCACAAAATGTACTGCTTAACAGAACAGTCAGCTCATTTCAAATGGCAAAAATTGAAACTGGAATCTAATCATCTTCAATCGTTTTCCATTATTCTTTCCCATCTGTTCTAATCAACAGGCAAACTAAAAATGCCTCATTAAATACATGTATCTTTCTGCACTGTTGAAGTGCAACTAAGATAACTAGGGCCAATAAACCAATCAATCCATCAACACCCATGAAGGCTCATCTGAAACTGCTTCTTGATAAAGTGGACAGCAAATCTGAACAGCTGTACAATACAGATATGCTTAGCACTAGATATTTAGTGTGACTGTGGCAAGGTAATATTGGTGATGACAGGGATTGTGAAGTGGATGAAAGACAGATCAGAGGAAAGCTTTTTAATTATTGCCTTCTCCTGCTTCTTCATCTTGCTGGTCACTCGTCCACAGAGTGAGGTTATCTCGAAGTAACTGCATGATGAGAGTGGAGTCCTTGTAGGAATCCTCATTTAGTGTGTCCAGCTCTGCTATGGCATCATCAAAGGCTTGTTTGGCTAAAAGGCAGGCTTGCTCAGGAGCATTCTGGATTTCATAGTAGAACACCGAGAAATTGAGCGCCAGCCCAAGCCTAATTGGGTGAGTAGGCTGCATGTGCTCTTTGCTGATTTCAAAGGCCTCCTTATAGGCAGCTTCTGAGGCTTCCACAACACTGTTTTTCTTCTCTCCAGCAGCAACTTCTGCCAAATAGCGGTAATAATCTCCTTTCATTTTCAGATAAAAAACCTTGCTCTCATACTGGAAGTCATTGCAGTTCTTGATCAAGTACTTATCGAGGAGAGCCAAAACATCATTGCAGACTGTCTCAAGTTCCTTTTCTATCTTCTCCCTGTAGGCTTTAACCTTCTCCAGCTTCTTCTCATTGCCATCAGCCATAGTCTTCTGCTCTATGCTGCTGATGACACGCCAGGAGGATCGCCTAGCTCCAACTACGTTCTTGTAGGCTACAGACAGCAGGTTTCTGTCCTCATTTGAGAGAGGTTCATTCAGCTCAGTTACCTGAAAATACACACAAAGATCAAATTCAAATGGTTTATCTTCAGAAATAACAAGTTTCCTTCAGCACCTCCATCATGAAACCCAACATTCAAAATTCCTTCTGGATCTCAAAATTCCTTCTAGCCAGAAAACAGTTTCTAACATTTAAGCTTGAAAGCTGTTTCTGCAGTCAAGACACAAAAGAATGAAACTCCCCCCAGCTCTGCTGTAATAGAGCTGGAATTTAAAACCCATTACAAAGCACATTCACCAAAAGAGTGAGTCAGGCTGGTGTAACAAAGAAGCATTTGGAGGATTTAACTCCTACAAGTCTGAGCTATAATTATGCAGACTACAAACTTCACAATGAATTTAAATGTACCTAGAATATCAGTTTTATGAATCTGGAACACAGCACAGACACTGGAAACTGCTGCACTTCTTGCGTTTCTTTCCTTTGCTGCTTTTTTTTTTCATTCAACAGCAGAGATGGAAGCGCTGCAGCCATTAGGATTATGCTCTGCATAGTACAAATGGAATTAGTGCTTCATACTGTCTTTCATTCACTGAGTGAGCCATTACACACTAATACAGAAGTTAGCCTGATTTCCGTTGACTGGTGGCTGCAGGCAAGTTCGAAGGATAGGATATAAAGGAAATTGCATAGGTGGAACAAATGAGGGCTGTTTTCTTTGGGTTTTTAGTTTTTGTTCTTTTTTTATTCTTTATTTTTTATTTATGAAAAAAACTAAGTTCCTACTACTAAAGCTGCAGTAAGGGAAGGGTAGAACATCCAAGACTACACCTAGCCCTGTTTCACTTTGTGCTGATTAGAAAAAAGGCCTTTCAGACTTACACCCACTTGGATTTGTTCAGATTTTCAAGTTTACAAACATGAAATTAAGTTAATAGGAATTAAATTAAAAATCACAGCTCCGCTACTTTACACATAATTAGTTGCATTGGAAGTCACTAGAATTGTAAGGATGTGCACTTCCAACTGAAGATGAAACTACCATTGCTCACACACTGCTAAAATTAACTACTTCCCAAAAAAGTGCATATTTCCATGACACACAGTGTCTGCAGCCAAATTTGCAATGTACAAGTAACTGTCACAAATATTTACACTCTTTGTGTAAGCAGTGTACTCTCCAGTAAACATGGATCCTGCCAAGCCTGAAAAATAATTATAAAAATTAACTTTCTCAGAAAGGGAAATTACTCTGAATTGAGTTACCTCCAAAATTCCTTTTCCCCACAGCTCTGGAAGCTGAACTTCCAAAAGACACTGCTGTGTCCACCCTGATACAATGACAGACAACCTACCCATGGTAAATGCACAGGAATCAACTCGATGTAATTGTCACAAGCTTCTTCACAGCTTCCACACCCCATTTTAACAAACACAATCTCTAGTCAGACCCACTTCTATCATTATCTCTAGTAAAGATCAATTCCCTCAGGATGTGAAGGCTTAGCTTAGGCCTTTCTATTCCCCCAGTCTGTTAGGACAGTGTTTGCTTTTACAAAAATAATATTAAAAAAAAATCAAAACCAGAGATTAATAATTACTTGGTCATTCCAGTGGTGGATATCTAAATAATACTCTGCAGCACCTAACAAATGACGTAAGAACCATCCAAAAAACACGATGCAAACCTACATGTTTACTATGCTACAGCTGGTGCATTTACGTATGGAGATGGAAGCTATCAGTTTCCAAAGTTTCATCCTATTTGTCACAACACAAAGTGTAATCCCACAGCAGTATCATTAGCCTCGGAAGAGTAGTCTAGATTTTTTCCTAGCCTATTTTCTCTCTTCAGACGTTACTCATTTTCAATTGCAGAAAATGTATCACAACATCCATCTTAAAAATACTGATTCATGAGCTGCACGTGCACAGGATACAGCACTTGCAAAAGATCGACCCCTAAATGCCTTTCCACCTTTCTTTCCTTCTCCATAACTGAAGTTTAAGTGAATTACTTTTCAGATACGGTACAGCTGAAGTGTCAGTATCAGTACACTCAGAAGTGCATTCATTCCCTTTGGCAGATGCTGTTAACTTAATGTAAAAACTGACAATTATTTTTCACGTGAGCAGCACCTAGCAGGAGTGCAGGAACTCAGCATAACAGGAGCTGTTTCCCACCAGTGATTCTCGCCATGGCAGAAGTTTCCAATGCTTGCAGTGGAACTCTTCTTTCCAGTGTCATCTTTCAACAACCTTCAGGATGTCAGCGTCATTTTCACCCCACCTCCCCACTGTTACTTCATTAATGCTGAACCCTTTCCATCTCAACTCAAAGGTGATTTCTGGAGGAGAAATGGCAAACTAGCCTCCATCCTAGCCAAAAGAACGCTGGTCCTTTGTGCAGGCATACATAAAAATCACACCTACAGCCCCAACACAAACAGCTATATTACCAGAAGCCAGAATGAAAGGAAAGCAGTGCTTATCAGCAGCTTTATCAATTTCAGATACATCAGCAAATTATATAAAAACAGACATGTTTCTCTTCCTGTTGGGATGATGTAGGAAAGAAAACCTGAAGTGCTAAAGGAAATGTTTCTTGTTTTCCATTCTCCCTATAGCGTTATCTGGAGTTGATGATTGCTTAAGAAATGCACTTCTACTTTTTTGACTGTTTTTTTATAGTGGCTATCAGGAAAAAGAGCACTTAAGAGAAAAAAGTTTGTAGTACGACTTCAAAGTAGTACTAACTTTGTGATGTATAACTACTTTTCTTATGCAAACATTCTTCTGACATCAAAGTCTGCATCATCTTGCTAAGGACTGCAAGATAAAGATAAAGCTGAATATACAGGCTATGATCTACTAGCAGTTCACAAGTGTTAAAAAACCACAAAATGTTGGTTCTGTAGTACTTAGAGGTATCCCCTCAGCTCTTTGTCCAAGTGCTCTCACGGTTAACTGAGAAAGAAGTAGAAGTACATAAAGGGAATCCTGGCCACAACGCTGGGCTTCCTAGAGCAGAACTGACTTCCAACGGTGTGATCCTACATGGGCCACATCAAGCCAAGTTCATCTTACATCGAAAACTCACCAAAGCAATGGTTCTGTAATTGACAGCAGATGAATGCACTGTCAGGTTACCTAATGGCATCAGTCCGGTCCAGGTAAACTGCATGTGTGTGACTGCACTTGTTCTGTTAGCAAGAACACTGTTGTCAGAGCTCGACAAGTCCTTAATGAGCTGCTGTAGCAAAAGACTGTACCTGAGCAGGAAAGCCACTTTTAATCATTAAAACTATCCTGAGAAGGTTCATAATGAATATTGTTCATTATTTCTGAACAAACCAGATGAATTCATTTAAACCAGAGCAATACCTTGCATCAGTGTGGCTTCTAGTTTTGCTTTTTTTTTTTTTTTGTGACAGATACTTTCACAGTATAAAACCGCAGTGAAAATCATCTCACAGCAGGGAAGGGTATTGTTCACGTTATAGTTATTCACATATTCAATAATATCAAGACTCAATATTCTCAGGGTGAAGTAAATCTCCTTCACATGCCTCATATCAAAATTACACATCTCACATAACTGAGATTCATCTCAGTCTTCAATACCTGCTACGTAGCTGTACTAGAAAAGCAATGCAGATTAAAAAAAACTACTACACACTACTATATATTGGAATTAATAGACTGACTCAGTTTACAAAGCAAAACTGTTCAGCTATTTAGTATTTATAATCAACATTTAAAATCAATTTCTGGAACAGTCTAATACCAAAAGCATTCATGCTCCCAATCTGCTCAGTAATTTGTTGGAACAATATTTATTCCAACAAACGAGCACTTTTAACACTCTTACAATAACAGCCCGTTTTTCCCCAGTGTGTTTGGAAGCCAGGTTTTACCTACCACATGCATTACTCCAAACAGTTGGAACGTTAAAGTGGCACTTAATGCAGTGAGACTGCCACTGTCCTTGGAAGGATGTAATTTGGTTAGAGGCACTTTTACATATGCATGTACTTTCTATGAAAATAATATTGACTACACCCATTGATTTATAACAGCAACTTAATTACAGAGATAAATAGGTACTAATAGAAGTGTACTTCTATTGTAAGTACAAATACAAGCAGAAATAGCAAAATTCTAAGAACAAACAGCAAGAAAAATTGTACTCTTTAACAGCAGGTTCCTTATTTAAGCTATAACAGCCGTATTATCTATAGATTTATATATATATTTTCTATAGAAGGCTGAACAGACAGGACTGAACAATGAGTATTCCTCCAGCTTTATATCAACAGCTGATAAGAGCCTCTTCATGTTCTTTCTTCACTGGAAATCCCAAATATTGTACAAATATGCTTTTGCTACAATAATCTTTATCACTTTGTGTGTTAAGAGCAACTGCCAGGCTGCTGACAGTATTGTGTGCTGTAGAAACATGCTGATAAATACCTGGAGCTGAAATTAACCATTTGCATTTCCATTACGCTGGAAATACAGCATTTTCACACAGCACCATTACAAAAAGAATCAAGTATGTTATGTGAATATTTTTAAGAATCTTTTCAAATCAAAATATCCTGCATTGAGACTAGATATCCGATTTACAACACTGGCTTCCTGCTGAAGGAAGTCTAACATCTGAGTGCACTACGTGCCTCAGCTCACACCTATAAAATCAACTCGAATCTTAAGATGAAAGATTACATGAACAGCCTAATAAGAGCCAACTGTTGCCCTTTAAATTCAGCTAAATTTTTTTGTATTTCAGTACTTGTAACGTTTCATACATGCTAAAGACAGCTCATCTACAGTGTTAGCAAGCTCCAAATTACAGAAGCTCATCATTATACAACTTCTTGCAGATCAAAATGGCATTACAGAATACCGAAACTCAATGAGTGCAAACTGAGCAGTAGTTCAGTTTAAGATGCCAACAGACACACACACCAGTTACTTCTACTTTACATATCTCCTGACACACAGCAACCATGTTCTTTTTGCTTCACATGTTCAGGGAGCCATAGACATCCTGCAGACCAGCAATGCCTGGGGGAAAAAAGCTACCAGCTGCAGCTAGAAATGGTGTCTTCCAGAGCAGCAGTGGATTTTAGTGATTTCTTGATTGCATCCTTCAGAAATAGTGATGAGAAGTGTTCTCCAGGTGAATGAAGCTGTTACTACTTCACGGTAGGTATCAGGAATTCTAATAATATCACTGAAAGACAGCTTACATCAACTGCATTTAATATTGAGATACTCAGAAGTATTTGTGCTTTAGAACTAGATTGATGCTGGTGTTTATTATGCCACTGTAAACAGTTAGACATTAAAAAGATAAAACATCTGATTCCTGCCCTCATTTAAGAGATGTAACATACATCATACAGTCCCTGAAGGAGACTTTTTGCAAGAATCAATCTATGACTGAACTTGATTTGTAGCTGCTCTTTCAAACCATGCAGCATTATTTCTCAAGAGAAACCAGGGTCCCCTTGAGGCCTCTTGGCGCTCACAAAAAAAAAGAGATCAACAAGAGTAAATCAGTTGCAATTAATACAAAGACTGTAATGGTCTTTGCTAAACATTTACCAGCATTTACACGGGCTTCAGAATTCAGATATGCTTTGTTTTTTAAAAAGAGACACTAGACATGCAGTTTGGTCATTCTCCAATTTTATTATGTACCAGTACAAACGGGTCAGTACACTTCATTTTCATCGCAGCTGTAGCTTAGTGTTAAAACACATATCAGTATTCAACTGTGTAAGAACACACTGAGAACGTTACCCTACAAAAAGAGGCAAGAAGGCAACGTTAAAGCTTAGGAAACAGATTCTGGGTGCAGCGAGCAGCTCGTATACCCGGATGCGACCACAGTTCCATCTTCGAATCGCAGCGCTCACGCCCGTGGGAGGCCCCTGTTCGGAGCCTCTACGGCAGAACCCTCTAGAAAAGGAAGGGGCTCCTCCTGCCGCGCGCTGCTCAGCCCCCCGCCCCCCCGCGGCCATCCCACCCCGCCCCGCGCCCCTTCAGCCCCGGATGGGTCGCACCGCCCGCTTTCAGCTCCAGGCGCGGGGTGGCGGGGCGGCTCAGCATGCTCCCTCCGCCCCGAGGCGGGCGGCGTTCAAACGGCCGCTCCGCACCGCGCCCGATTGGCGGCGTAGGGCCGGCCACACCCCCGGGCAGGGATGGAGCGGGAGGCGCGGGCGTCGTTACGAGGGGGAGAGAGAAACGAGGGAGGGAGAAACCCAGCTCCGGAGGGACGGGAGCTGCGGGGCTCCGCAGGGCGGGAGCACTGGGAACATTGGGCGCATTCCCCGGCGGGCGGCCCCGCTCCCGCCCAACCCCCCCCTCCTTTCCTCACTGCCACAGGCTGGGCGCATCCTGCCCGGACCCACCCCGCTCCGGCCCGGACGTCCTTCCTCACCTCCCCCTTCCCCCGGCCCCGCCGCCACGCCGCCCGCACCACTCACCGACTTCATGGCCGAGGCCATGTCGTCGTATCTCTCCGCCTGCTCGGCCAGGCGGGCTCGCTGCAGCAGCTGCTCTCGGTCCCCCATGGCCGCTTCCGTGGTGGCTGCCGGGCCGGGCGCTGAGCCCCTCAGACGGTGAGGAGAGGGGCGGGGGTCCGCGCCTCGGGACGCGCGGGCGGTGCGAGGATACGAGCGCGCGTGGAGAGCGCAGCGCGGCCGCCGCCTCCCGCCCGCTCGCCGGGCGACCGTTAGGCTCGCCGCGCCTCACGCGCCGAGTGGCGGTCGGCGCCTCGCGCTCACGGGCTGCAGCCGCGCGCTCACTGCTTCCCCTCGGCGCCGCGTGCGGCTCGCGCCTCTCCGCCCGGCTCGGAGCCTCGCGCTGCTGCCGCCGCCTGCGCCTGCGCGCTAGGAAGGCAACGAGGGGGCGGAGCCGAGGGGACTGCAGGGGAGGGGAGGGGGGCGCTGCTCCCTCGCGTTCTATTTCTAGATGACGTCACTTGCTATAAATAGCCATCCCGGGGCGCCGGCCGGGGGGAGGCGCATGCGCACTGCGAGTGCTGCATTTTACTGCTGCAAAGGTGGAGGTGGGCGGTGGGCATTGCGGAGCCGGGCGGTGCGGCCCCGGGCGCGGCTGCTCGGCTCTGGTCCCCGTTTTCAGAGCTTTACCAGCGTCTTGCTTTTTAATAGTTGAGCTCTGTAAGAGATCGAGCTGCCGTACGTCAAGATCGTCGCTAAGGAACAGCGCCGCGCAACGCGCTGCTGCGTGCAGGGCTGGCGGTGCGCGCCCGAGGCTCCGCGCAGCACTCAGCGCTCCGTGCCTGCCCTGCCTGCTGCCGTGCTGCAGCTCCATAGAAAGCAGATCGCAGTGTTTCTACAACCACTCACTCACCCACTGAGCCACAGAGCGTGCGTTAATCCAGCAAATATATGTGGGTATGTCCACGAAAACATTCTCAAAGTGCTTTTTCTTCTTCCCTTGTTTTTCTCCTTAATCGAAGCTTCTGTATAATGGCTATTTACTAGTCTAAAGCACCTCAGAGATTCCCAGCTCTGAGTGCACACGGTGACACGTAACATCACTGACCTCACGGCAACCAGGCGGAAGTTGGAGCCCTCAGCCCAGACAGCAGGCAGTGAAGCACTCAGAGCTGATGGTTTGGCCGGGTTGCTCTGCCAGCAGGCACTGCACAACACCTTACTTGCTGAGGGCTCATTGTGAACCTTTTCTTTATGGGGAGTTTACAATCACCACTCCATGGGCTGCTGTTCAGACTCTGGCTTGCAGTGGTGGAATCATGTCTCATCACCAGGAATGATACAATCCAGGAAACCGGCACCTTCAGCCTTGTACTGATTCAATGGGTCCTTCTAAGATTGCATACAGTTTTCTTTCTGTTCCTACGTGAGCATTTGTAGCACCTGATGCAAGCTTTGTGATATTCCAATGCACTGAAGCCACACACAGTTCCCTGGTTGTAATGTGCTGATTCACACGGATAAAGCTGATGGAGATGCACTTCATTTCACGGTGGGACAGCTGTGCACGACTGTCCAGAACGTGGCTTGTCTGACACATCACTGTCATCACTGCTGAAATGCAACACTCACTGCATCACAGTGTTCACACGCACTGTTTGCACACCAGAACCATCCAGCAAGTGTCAATGGGTGCCATTTTTTCCACGTGGAGGAATTCAATTACATATTTTTGCGTCAAATGCACCTTCATGTCAGACACCATTCTGTCAGAGTGCCCCTCTGCTGCCATCTGTCACTCAGCAACAGGATGCAATAGGGAGGGAGATGGGGAGGTTCAACTTCTACTGCTGTACCATCAGTGGGCCAACATGATAAAATAGAAGCCATTACTTTTGGAGCAGCCCTCATATACAGCATCTAGTGCTCCAACCTTCAGCTACAACAGCAGTGTGGCTCCCAGAATCCATAAGGAACAAGGAGAAAAAAAATCAGAGCTCGTGCAGTCTTAATCTGCTACAGTAATTGTAAGCTGGGAAAGGAAAGGAGAAGAGAGGAGAGGTCAGCAGATCTTTTACTGGAGTGCTGAACATGCTGTCAAAGCACCTAACTTGTCCTCCTGCTAAAGTTCAGATGCCAGGCATCAGCCCTCATGTCCTAGAGCTCGACGTTCCCAGCAGAGCTCACAAGGCAGGATTTAGAGCTGCTGGCACAGTGACCACACCCAGAGAGAATCTGTAGATGGAGAAACTCATGGTTCTGATAATTGCCCCATGATCTCAGGCAGTGGCTCTGCTCCATAGGCACATCTAAGTGTGCTGGCCAGCCCTGCTGCTCCACAAATAGCTCCCTGCTGGAAGGCCGAGCCAGCTCGCTGTGTGAGGCGCTGGGGACAGCGCGGCAGCCACACGGAGCAGCCCAATGCTGATGTTCAGCTGAGGGCACAAGCCACAGGGCACGCTGACAACAAGGAAAAGCAACGGGGAAACGGCCACATGGCATACTGGAGCCTGCCCAGCCTCCTGGGCAACCTGTTTGGTTGCTCTGGCAGCACACACACCTGCAGCACTGCTCCTGAGACTCACAGCACCAAGGCAAGGTAACATCCCTGCTACCATCTGCCTCATTCCTGGAGCTGCAGTATGGAAGTGTTTTACATAGGGAGCTGCTAAATGATACAGGCTTGAGGACAAAGCAGTGAAAAACAGAACAGAAGCAAGGAGTGAGCAGTGCAGGTTAACCAGCATCTGAACCGCATGGCAGGAAATAGAGATGGGCGGGGAGACAAAGAGGTGGGGAGTCTGTGGGCATCTGATCCTGGAAATGCTGCAACTGTGGGGCACAATCCTGGCAGCACATCCCCACAACAAAGTGAGATAAGTGCACATCAGGGAGGGAAGGTGCTGTAACCAATGACAAGATCAGAGCAGAAGATAGGAGTGGGTGTAGCTGAAGTGTGATGATTCTTTCCCAAACCTCAAGGGACTGTAATTTCAGTGATATATTTCTGGCCAAACCGTACAGCAGAGTTTAACAAGCAACAGAACTCTTTAGGCTGTCACAGTGTGCGTGAAAATATTCTACTACTTGCCATATTTCAAGTTTTATTAATCTTCAATCACTCTCACAGAACCTCTCTCGTAACTCAAAGGTAAAAGCTAGAGTGAAGAGAGGAAGATGGCAGCGGCGGAGTGCTGCTCAGAAGCAGCAGGGCTCACGCTGTGAGCTGTGCATAGTGCACATCTGCACCAACAGGAGATTGTCAGAGAAAAGAGCAGTGATTTGCACAACATCTGTGAAGCCCTTCCTCCCTCAGGGGAGCAGACACGTATACCAACCCCACTGGGGATCACTGCAGTATGTGCACTATTGCTCTGCATTCAGGCACAGCAGCCTTTTGCATGTTCAAAATCCCATGCAGACAGGAGCTGATCCTCAGAGCTCTCTGCAAAATGTGCTGTTTTGGAGCACTTGCTCATTTTGGAGTCCAGTGAAGAATGAGTGCTATGTCTGAATAAAAGATTATGGCAGTGTTTTTAGGTGCCAGAATGATTCAGGGATATGCACAGGAGGCTGTGAAGCATGCTCAGTTGTGGGGGTTTCTCTCAGTGGCAAGAACACAGCACCTAATTGAAAGCAGCTTTAACCCTTCAAGAGCTGCTTCAAACCACAATGCTTGGTCCAGATACAAGAATGTGTTTTCATTCTTTATGTAATCAAAGGGATACAACCAGAATTTACAAGCATAAACAGGAAAAAATAAAAAAGCTTGCTTACCAGGAACTCACACCTGAGCATCCTATTGCTAAAAGCCTCTATGTATAAAAGACGTCTATGCTAAGTGAATACTGAAAGTCACAAACACACACATCCACATGAAGAAGCCCCAACAACCCTACTCCACCTCAGGGCTTGTCAGAGGTGCTGAGCATTTGCAACCTATGGATAAAGTCAGAATTTCCATGTCTAGCACTTCTGGAACTACCCCTAAAACATCTCATTCAGGGCTACCCAATTATGGACTCAGTACCAGCAAACATTTAAGAAATATGCCCAGATCTTTCTTGACAAATCAATTTTTACTGCTCTTCAAACTACACCAAAGAGGATTAGCCTTACTCAGAACTGGATTAAATCCCACTGAAAATGGTTGATCTGAAACAGTGACCATTCACTGCGGAACATAGGATGAAAGACTTTGGGGATCAGACTAACGAAGCACAGAGATAAAACGCCTTTGCCAACATTTCCAAAAGCGGACCCTTATTCCAGGTGCCCTACTCAAGCCTCTGTAAGTGCTCATTTCTTCTGAAAACGAGGCCCTAAGCAAGCTGAGCCCAGCACCCAGAACAAGAAGCTTCCTGAAAAGACGGGCCTTGAAGTTGTCTCTCCTGACATTTGTCCATAGTGGGCCTCAGGTGAGCCCATTCAGTAACGCTAACTTGTAGCTGTCATGGCACGTGAAAGCAGGGAGAGCAGCACCTCACGTCATTAATCGTATTTCGTACTGTAGAGGATTACTTCAGAGAAACTATTCATGGGCAGCTGCCACACAGAACCTCGCTGCTGCCATTTCCCTGCCACACTTCCAACCAAGAAGGCTGGTAGGTAACACTTGGTCTCACCTCAGCAGCAGCACTGGGAAACAAGTGTGCCTGCCCATTGGGAAAGCATCCTTGCCTCTACAGCAGCTAAGTTTGAAAACACAACCAGATTTCCATCACTTTTCTGGGACCTGTTAACATAAATACTGTTCTTTGGGCTCTTATATGCATTTTAAGATAAAAATGGCTGTTTTCTATCTAGGGCAAGCTCCTCTCTTTGCTAGGGCACGCCATGTTGAGGAGGAGGAATGACAACAGCAGGTACAGTACATTCAGTTCAGGGAAGGTCAGTCACATGCACAGAGCATTTCTAATTACAGCTCCACAGAAGAACATGAACACATCCAGAGCTCGCTACAAATGGCAGGACAGGGAATGCAGATCACAATGAGGATGTAAATCACATCTAGGAAACAGCAACAAGGGAATACGCAAAGGGAACAACTCAAACATGTGAGCACAGCACACACAACTCCACGGCACTGTCCATGGAAGACCAGCTCCACCCAGCACCGCAGGCAGGAGGCCAGGTGCCACCGGGGTTCAGGTTCACTTGATCTCCTCCTCTGCTGCACAGCAGTGCCTCCAGCCTGTGTGTGCTGATGGAAGCACTGAGATCGGCAGGCACTGCTTGCAACTTCTCACTGCAATGCAATGAGCTCCTCTGATGTGTTTCATGCAGATTCAGCATCCAGGTGGTGTGAAGCAGAGCTGCTGGCAGGCTGG